GAGGGACATGGGGAGTTATTAGTCACTGCACGTGCAGTTCCAGTGAAGGAGGATAAATGTGTTTGAGAGATCTCCTGTGCCACATTGCACCTATAGTCAACAGTATTATAGTGTACACCTAAAAATGTGTTAACGCCAGGCACAGTGGTTCACACATATAATTTCAGCACTTTGGGAGGCAGAGGCAGGTGGATTGCTTGAGCCCAGGAGTTCAAGACCACCCTAGGCAACACAAAAACCCTGTCTCTACAAAAGTAAAAAAGTTAGCTGGATGTGTTGGCATGCACCTATAGTCCCAGCTTCTTGGGATGCTGAGGCAGGAGGATCACTTGAAGTCTGGGAGATGGGAGGAGGCACTGAGCCAAGATTACTCCCCCGTACTCCAGCCTTGATGACAGGGAAAGACCCTGTCTCATTTAAAAGAAAAATATTTTAAGAAGATGGATCACATGTTAAGTGTCCTTATCACAAAATAAAGTATAATGGTCACCACCTGGTGTCCAATGTGGCTATGGCTGGTGCTCCCCTACCACCACTTTTTTTTTTTTTTAAACAGAATCTCATTCTGTCACCCAGACTGGACAGTGGCATGATCTCGACTCACTGCAACCTCTGTCCCCCAGATTCAAGTGATTCTCCTGCCTCAGCCTCACATGTAGCTCGGATTATAGGCGCCCATCACCATACCCAGCTAATTTTTGTATTTTTAGTAGATAAGGGGTTTCACTATGTTGGCCAGGCTGGTCTCGAACTCCTGACCTTAGGTGATCCACTCACCTTGGCCTCCCAATGAGCCACCACACCCAGCCCAAGCATCTTTATTTGTAAGACCCTGCCTGTGGGAGATGGGGCTAGACAGGCGGGGTCCCATCAGAGGGTTTCACTTACAGATGCAGAGGCAAATAAAGCAAACCAAACACCCCACAGAAAGAACGCAAAGTCTGATTGAAGCACAAAGTTCAATTCCTGAGTCCCTTTCCCTTTAGTGCATAAGCAAAATGGGTAAGAACCCAGGCCTAAAATCAGACAGAATCAGCTCAAGTGCTGATTTTGTTGCATGTTAGTTTCTTTGCCTTTAAGATGGAGGTTGTTCGAGGACTGGATACGAAAAGGGAGGTGTGGGAACCAGAAGGAATAGCACCCGTGACTCTGGGCTTTGTTGCAGCTGAGCTTTGAGCACCTGTAGACCCAAGGGGCTGAGGATAGCAGGGAGAAAGGCGACAGGAAAGACTGTAAGGTGTAAGAGTTCTTTCTAGAAGATAGACCAGGCTGGGATGGAGGCAAGGAAGAATGCTTTAAAGGTGAATTGCCTTGACTGGGCGTGACAGTTGCAGATGCAAACGGTATTCTGAATCAGGAACTTTGTCATTGCCTTTGAGGACCCTTGGTGATATAATCTGTAGATTATTTAAAGGATTTGAAATGTAAAGGAAGCTGCACTTCTGGAACACTAGTAAATAACAGAGGGATTACCAGTGTGAATGGGCAGCCCCATGGTCACTGAAGTTAAACAGCCGAAGGTTGTCACTTAGCTTGGCCAGGGAGCTCTCTGAAATTTCTTTATCTTTTTTTTTTTTTTTTTTTTTTTTTTTTTTTGAGATGGAGGTTTCACTCTTGTTGCCCAGGCTGGAGTGCAGTGGTGCAATCTCAGCTCACTGCAACCTCTACCTCCCGGGTTCAAGCGATTCTCCTGCCTCAGCCTCCTGAGTAGCTGGGGCTACAGGCACGTGCCACCACGCCCAGCTAATTTTTTGTATTTGTAGTAGAGATGGGATTTCATCATGTGGGCCAGACTGGTCTCGAACTCCTGACCTCATGATCTGCCCGCCTCAGCCTCCCGAAGTGCTGGGATTGCAGGCATGAGCCACTGCACCCAGCCTGAAATTTCTAGATGTAAGGAAGAATTTGTAACTTCTATTTGCCCTTCTGTTATTTTACAACCCTTACGTTTCAGTCGTTTTTCCTAATTTTAACTTACTTAGACTCCAAGCTCAATCCACGATCCATTTCCTTTTCCCTGTCCTCAATACAGCCACATGAACACAATATTCTGTTAAAAAAAAAAAAAAAAAGAAAGAAACCCAGAATCAAAAAGAGCTAAGACCAGAAAAAACTGGAATATACATTTTAAAAATTGGCACCGGAGAATAAATCTTTCTCAGAATTTTCTTAAAGCATTTTTTCCTTGAAAAGAAAGCCAAACCCTAAAGTAAAACACACGCGGTTGTAAATAAACAAAAACCTCACATATCTAGAATTTAGTTTTTTTCCAAGACGAGCTAACATTTTGCTCTTTCTGGGTTTCCTAATTGCACATTTCATTTTGCCCGAATCCTCATTATGGGAGGAATGGGCAGACCTGTCTCGCGGCTCCAGGGTTTCCGTGGGCAGTGAAGTATGTGCCTGGTGGTTTCAGAAGCCCTGGCTCTTGTTCATTTCATCAAAAGCAGCACATCTTTAAAAATGAAATTTTCCAGGCTCTTAGCCCCTAAAGCAAACTTGTATGCATAGATATTTTTTATTCTTATGGGCCCACAGAATGTCTCACAGCCTTAAAAATGTCATCAGGCAGGGCCAGGCGCGGTGGCTCAAGCCTGTCATCCCAGCACTTTGGGAGGCCGAGGCAGGTGGATCACGAGGTCAAGAGATCGAGACCATCCTGGTCAACATGGTGAAACCCCGTCTCTACTAAAAATACAAAAAATTAGCTGGGCATGGTGGTGCATGCCTATAATCCCAGCTACTCAGGAGGCTGAGGCAGGAGAATTGCCTGAACCCAGGAGGCGGAGGTTGCGGTGAGCCAAGATCGCGCCATTGCACTCCAGCCTGGATAACAAGAGCGAAACTACATCTCAAAAAAAAAAAAAAAAAAAAAAACTGTCATCAGGCACTCCCCTGCGCAGCAGTGGCTGCTGATATATATCCCATGGGTGGAACGGCTGAGGAACGGCGGTACCAAGGTGGTGTTTCTAACCTTTATTGCATTTCTTACTTGCCGACAGCCTAATCCCTCACAGTCCTGCAGTCTGTTGATTCTTGTTAATTTCTTCTCATTACACTGGTCTCTAGGCTATGGTTGTGTATTGAACAGTGTTGGTCTATGTGATCCAATTCAGGGCTTGTTTCAGTCAAAACTCACACCTGTAATCCCAGCACTTTGGAAGGCCAAGGCAGGTGGATCACCCGAGGTCAGGAGTTCAAGACCAGCCTGTCCAACATGATGAAACTCCATCTCTACTAAAAATACAAAAATTAGCCCAGCATGCTGGCAGGCATCTGTAATCCCAGCTACTCAGGAGGCTGAGGCAGGAGAATCACTTGAACCAGAGAGGTAGAGGTGGCAGTGAGCTGAGATCACGCCATTGCACTCCAGCCTGGGTGACAGAGGGAGATTCTGTCTCAAGAAAGGAAAAAAAAAAAAAAAAAAAAAAGAAACTCCCACGTGGCTGCTACCCTCTGGGTTGTCGCAGCCAGAGAAGCCAGTTCTCTACCATGCGGCATTTCCCCTGGCCTTCTGTAATCAAGCATCACCTTCCTTCCCCTGCCCTGTGGTCACTTAACAGCTGCAGCCTTAGGCCCACCTCTTGCTGGCCATCCATTCTCCACCAAGGCCTGCCCCTGCCTCCACATGGGCCCCATGCGTGTTCTCAGGTCCTTTTCTGAGTGTTTAAGCCAGCCAAACCGAATCATAGAGCCACAGCATCTTAAAGCTGGAAAAAATATTAGGAATTTTCTAGGCCAGCCCTGTGTGTTTTCAGGGAAGGAAATTTTGGTCCAAAAAAAAGCATCAATGGTAAAGATAGTATTGAAACTGATTACAGAACTGGAATGAGAATCCATGATTTGATGGGATAGATTAGCTAATTAGTGGGTCTAGTTAATCAGGATTGCCACTCCCATTATGTGTGTCAGGTGACTCTTGTTCCACCTGAACTCTCAATTATAAGTCACTTGAACCAGCATCAATATGATCGGTTAAAAATCAACCTGGAAATGGTTCTGTGGAAAAATGGATGATATTATGATACTGCAGTCTTCCGACCTGTGTTAGCCCTGCTGATACTTACTGCATGTCAGTGGCCAAAACCACAAACCTCCGTGTCCCCAGTTTGGGCTTGGTAGCCTGAGAAGGTGCAGGTTGTGAGTGTGATGATGTGCAGGTCTGTGGCAACTTGATACGCAAGGTCATAGAATGTCATTTTCTTCCTCTGATCATTTCTGAAATAAAATGAACTTGGAAGGGCCCTGAAATGGATATGAAACATACATTTTGTTTGTTTTTGCTGTCAGCTCATCCTCTGTTAGGGACAATATTACATACAGTAAGATCAGTAATATTTATGCACAGAAGGCTATCTGTAGGTTTTTAGAATGTGTGGGATTCTGTGGTTAATGCCGTGCAGGGTTAAGGGGGACTTCAGTAATTGTATTTACCTTTCATCATTTCCTGAGTTGACCCTTTTGGCTATTTATTAAATCGCAATTTTACTTCTGTGCCACCCATGCCTGTGGAATGTGTGATTCCTTGGCTGAGATTATATTTGCGACATACACAGTACAGATTTTCTTTTTCCTTCTTTCTTTTTCTTCTTTTTTTTTTTTTTTTTAAGACAGAGTCTCATTGTCACCCAGGCTGGAATGCAGTAGCGCAATCTTGGCTCTCTGCGACCTCCACCTCCCAGGCTCAAGAATTCTCCCACCTCAGTCTCCCAAGTAGCTGGGCTTACAGGCGCCCTCTAACACACCAAGCTAATTTTTATTTTTTTTATTTTTTAGTAGAGACAAGGTTTCACCATGTTGGCCAGGCTGATCTCAAACTCCTGACCTCAAGTGATCTGCCTGCCTTGGCCTCCCAAAGTGCTGGGATTACTGGCGTGAGCCACCGTGCCTGGCCAGAGTTTCTTAACTCAGTTGATAATGTCTCTTCCTTCTGGGCAAAGCGTAAAACCACCGCAGTGGATATGCAGATGTTCCAGCGTTTACTCTGTTTTATCTTCCAGGCTGTGTGGCTACCCTCCTTTTTATGACGAAAATGACTCCAAACTCTTTGAGCAGATCCTCAAGGCGGAATATGAGTTTGACTCTCCCTACTGGGATGACATCTCCGACTCTGGTAGGTCTCCTACAGGCAGCTCCCAGTGGGCCGCCCCTGGGACACTTACACCCAGACCACGTGACCCTGATAGACCCAGGGGACCTTGGGAGGCTCAGAACTGTCCCGAGGGTCCTGTCTTGGTTGGCTGCTGTAACAAGATACCATAGACTGGGTGGGTTAAACAGCAAACATTTATTTCTCGCAGCTCTGGAGGCTGGGAAGTCCAAGATCAAGTCACTAGCACGTTGATTATCTGGTGAAGGCCCACTTTCTGGTTCATAGACTGCTGTCTTCTCACTGTGTCCTTCTTACCGTGTCCTCACATGGCAAAAGGGACAAGAGGCTCTCTCAAGTCTCTTTGATAAGGGCACTAATCTCATTCATGAGGGCTGCACCCTCATAATCTAATTACCCCTGAAAGGTCCAGTCTCCAAATACCATCACGTTGTTTGGGATTTCAGCATATAAACTGTGGGGGATGAGCACACTCACGGCACACAGTTCATAGCAGCTCTCAGGAAGCTTCACGAGCTACATGTTTGGGTTTGACTTGCAAAGAAAGAGGCCAAGGTTGGGGCATCTGGCTTGAGCAATGCTGAGAGATGGGGACCCACTCATGCCCCTCTCCTAGCCATGGAGTTCTGGGTGCTCCAGGAGTAAACCAATAGTAGCTAGCATTTATTGAGCTCTGACTGTGTGCTCCGCACAAGTTAGCACTATTTGTGTGCTGACTCACTCAGTCCTCAGGACAGCCTGTCAGGCAGGTATTGCTATTATCCCCTTTTGACAGATGAGGAAACCGAGGCCCAGAAGGTGAAATAACTTGACCATAATCATACAGCTAGTAAGTGGCAGAGCCGGGATTTGAAATGCCACACTGAAACGTTCCAGGGAAATTCGCTGTTCCTTCCTCGGGGATAAAGATCAAGATCAAGTCCCGTAGAAATTAATGAACTCTCTCTGAGCCTCAGTTTCCTCACTGGTAAGATGAGGCTGGTAATAATATTCCATCTGCCATAGAGTGTAGCAGAAGGATGAATTGAAATCATGAATGGGACGATGCGTTGTAGTCTCCATGAGCTACTCAAAGAGAGCATTTTATTGGTTATGTTATTTCCTCCTACGTGGAAATGCCTTGGTTGCATCTTCAGTCTCCGAAAACGTGGGCCCAGAGTATAGTTGTACAAGGCTTGCAGGAAAGAGCCTCTGGGAAATATGTTCCTTCTGAGCTCAGTAGAGCACGGCCTTCCTCCAGAAGCCCAGTCCTTTGGGCAGTGAGGGGCCACGCCGTGCAGTGCAGCAGATTTTGGACCTGACCATGATGTCATCAGTTCTGCCACCGGCTCCTCTCTTCCCCAGGGTCCTGCTTCCGGGCCATGCCCTCTCCTGGGCTGCCAGGCACTCCCTATTTCCCCCAGCGGGGCACAGCTCCCTGCAGCACGGTTTCTCGCTCCAGGGTTTGTAGTAGCCAGAGTATACCACACATGTGCTTTCTGGGGACTTGATATTCACAGAGCCCAGCCCAAGATCTGGGGGGCTGAGCAGGTGCTCAGCAGGTTTAATTGAATCAGCCACGTCTAGCACATGGAGATGATGTCACCAAAGCAGTTCTCTAAGGCAAGGTGGACTCAGTAGAGGCCCACGATTACCAAGATATTTCCTCTGTTCTCTCAGCCTGCGTATCACTAACCACTGGAGGTAAGGGCCTTGGGGCCGGCAGTCAGGGTCCCAGGCTGCCTCCTCACTATTCGGTCACCCTGGAGTGCCAAGCCCTGGCTTTCCTTTCCCTACATGCTGCTGCCTTTATGTCCAAGGTACAGCAGCGCTGGTCTCGTCTTTTTCATGTTACACACGCTCTTCCTGAAGACCTGGTGGGATCACGTCGTCACATCTCAAGCTGCAAACTGATTCCTTTCCTTGTGGCTTCTTTTTGAACAGCCAAAGACTTCATTCGGAACCTGATGGAGAAGGACCCGAATAAAAGATACACGTGTGAGCAGGCAGCTCGGCACCCATGGTAAGGAAAAGCACCCACTTGGCAGATCGTGCCATTTAATGCCACCCAGAGGGGCCCAACGTTTCCTGTTGGCTGTTCTCGTTTATGAAATCCACACAGGATTATTATGAATGTCGTCTCATTCTGGCCAGTGACCTTCCTCCTCTCCCCAAGCCAACATTTGAACTCTTACGCCCTCAGGACACAGCTTCTGGAAGCACTCATGAGAAGTTACTATGTATATTAGCCCCTTTCCGTGCTGCTGATAAAGACATACCCAAAGTTAGGCGCCGTGGCTCATGCCTATAATCCCAGCACTTTGGGAGGCCGAGGCAGGTGAATCACCTGAGGTCAGGAGTTCGAGACCAGCCTGGCTAACATGCTGAAACCCTGTTTATACTAAAAATACAAAAAAAATTAGCCAGGCATGATGACGTGCACCTGTAATCCCAGCTGCTGGGGAGGCTGAGGCAGGAGAATCGCTTGAACCAGGGAGGCAGAGGTTGCAGTGAGCTGAGATTGCACCATTGCGCTCCAGCTTGGGCACCGAGTGGAACTCCGTCTCAAAAAAAAAAAAAGACATACCTGAGACTGGACAATTTACAAAAGAGGGAGGTTTCCTTGGACTCACAGTTCCACATGGCTGGGAGGCCTCAGAATCATGGTGGGAGGCAAGGAGGAGCAAGTCATATCTTATATGGATGGCAGCAGGCAAAGAGAGCTTGTGCAGGGGAATTCCTCTTTATAAAACCATCAGATCTTGTGAGAGACTTATTCACGCTCACAAGAACAGCACGAGAAAGCCTTGCCTCCACGATTCAATTACCTCCCACCGGTCCCTCCCACAACACTTGGGAATTCAAGATGAGATTTGGGTGGGGACACAGCCAAACCATATCAGTATGCAAAGATCGCTGCTTCTGCACTTTACAGAAAGTCTCCTGGCACCCTTAAGGTCTCTCCTTTGAGTCATGGGCACTGAGAGGGTTGAGGAAGCAGCACCCGAGGTCCCAGCCTTGGCAGGAGCCGCCCTGGGCGGAGCGGGGCTTAGCTTTTCTGGTGGCCTCATGTCAGCCCTCTTCTAGAGCCCTAGCTGGGGACTGGAGCAGGAAAGGGACCTTCGAAGTGAAGACCACGTCATCCGCACCTCCTTTCGGCTTAGATTGAAACATGAACTTCCTCATGGGTTAAATCCTTTAAAACAAGGAGTTGAGGGGAAAGGCATCGTGCACTCCTAGAGAAAGGTACACAGTTGCCCAGCTGGGATCAGACTTGGCGCTGACCCCGAGGGCATCTGACTGATCTTCCAGCTCAGGAACAAGAATTTGAAAGAGGCTTAGTGTGAAGGGGAACCAAAAGGAGGTTGTGATTCGGTCGAAGGTGCGTGGTTTAGTGCTGTAATTGTCATTTTTTATATATATATTTATATATTTATATATATTTATATATATTTATATATTTATATATATATATATATATTTATATATTTATATATATATTTATATATATTTATATATGTAATTTCTTGGAGTAAACATTTTAAATAAATGACATCATTGTCAAAAAAAAAAAAAAAGAGGCTGGGCGCGGTGGCTCAAGCCTGTAATCCCAGCATTTTGGGAGGCCGAGGCGGGTGGATCACGAGGGCAAGAGATCGAGACCATCCTAGTCAACATGGTGAAACCCCGTCTCTACTAAAAAAAATACAAAAAATTAGCTGAGCATGGTGGCGCATGCCTGTAATCCCAGCTACTCAGGAGGCTGAGGCAGGAGTATCGCCAGAACCCAGGAGGCGGAGGTTGCAGTGAGCCGAGATTGCACCATTGCACTCCAGCCTGGGTATCAAGAGTGAAACTCCGTCTCAAAAAAAAAAAAAAAGAAAGAAAGAAAAGAAAGAAATATTGAAGGTAATTGCCCAAGGCATTAGGATTGGAGTTTTATTCCTTGAGTTTATTACTCAGTAGTTACATGAATCGAAGTTACATATTTTTTCCTCTTAAGATGCTCTTCAAATTTGTGTTTCATCAGCTCTGGAGGGACTAATTGATAGCTGATGGCATTCTACACATTTTCAGCAGTGGCTGTGAAGCTACTTAGCCTTGTGCCACTAATTTAGAAACCGTCTTCACTGTCAGCTAGTGCGATGCTAGGTATACACTTGACTTTTTGAGCCTCAGTTTCCTCATTGTTAAAACAAGAATAACAATATCTCATCCACAGATTATTGACATAATAACGAAGTTAATGCCAGGCTGGTCTCAAACTCCTGAACTCCTGATGTAGAGGGTTTAGCACAGAAACTCTCTGGCCCATCAGAAATGCTTAGTTTATTGTAGCAATTGTTTTGTTTGTTTTGGTTTGGTTTTTGAGATGGAGTCTCTGTCACTCAGGCTGGAGTGCAGTGGCGCAATCTCACCTCACTGCAGCTGCCACCTCCTGGGTTCAAGGGATTCTCCTGCTTCAGCTCCCAAGTAGCTGTGATTAACAGGCACCCACCACCATGCCCAGCTAATTTTTTTATATTTTTAGTAGAGACAGGGTTTCACTATGTTGGCCAGGATGGTCTCGAACTCCTGACCTCAGGTGATCTACCCACCTTGGTCTCCCAAAGTGCTGGGATTATAGGTCTGAGCCACCATGCCCGGCCTGTAGTGATTGTTATGTAAGCACCATGAGCCTCCATTGTAAACAAATGTCGAGAGTTGTAAAATACCAAAGATTATGAAAATAAATGGTCAGAACTTTGAGGTCAGGAGAAAATCCCCCTAAAAATCACTCCAGAAAACCATCCTTCTTTGTCCCCCACCAACCTCTGTAGCATTTCCCCCAGGGTCTTGTTGGCTGGTCAGCCTTCTAAAGGGGACTTGCTCACAGACAACGTCCTGACCTCATTTCACAGTATTTCAGTGTATACCACCTGTCATTTACTGAGTCTCTATTATATTCTAGACACCGGGCTAATTGCTCTAATGTATTATCTTCTTTCTTTCCTTTATAATAACGCTGTGAAGTTTTATATTCATTTCAGAGATAAATAGAGAGATAGCCGGGCATGGTGGTTCACATCTGTAATCCCAGCACTTTGGGAGGCCAAGGCGGTTGGGTCACTTGAGGTCAGGAGTTTGAGACCAGGCTTGCCAACATGGTGAAACCCCATGCCTACTAAAAATACAAAAAGCCAAGCATGGTGGTATGTGCCTGTAGTCCCAGCTACTCGAGAGACTGAGGCCTGGAAATTACTTGAACCCAGGAGGGGAAGGCTGCAGTGAGCCAGGGTGGTACCATTGCACCCCAACCTGGACAGTAGAGCCAGACTCCGTCTCAAAAAAAAAAAAAAAAAAAAAAGATAAATTAACTTAGCCGAGACTACACAGCTAGCTAATAGCAAAGCCAGAATTCCATCCACAACTGTCCAATTGCAAAGTGAATTCTCTTCACCATCACACTGGAAGGAGAAGAAAAGGGGAAGAAAGGAGGGAGCTGGGGGAGAAGGAGAGAATGATCCGGAGACGTGAACAGTCGTGATGCTGCATCATCTTCATTTTGTTTAAGTCACTTTAGACAATAGTCAAAGTATGTGATGATGAAGATACTGAAGGTTTTCTTACTTGATCAATAATAGGCCTTTAAAGCTATAAGACTTTTGAGATTATCTTAGAAGAAAAATGACCTCAGTAAAAAAGGGAGCTACGACCCTAGTGGGTTTTACCATCCATACTTGCTTTGTAGAAGGCAGGAAAAAGGCCCGTTCACACCTGCCCTCTCCTTCACCGAACAGTTTGGAAAAAACAAGCTAGGGAGAGGTCATTTTTCCCGAGGAGGCTGGGAGAGGGCACAGTGGGCTCAGTGGGAGGTGGTGCCCACGCTGAGTGCCGCACCATAAGAATCCCCAGAGGAGGGGATTCCAGGCAGACGGGCACCTGCGTCTATGACACAGGAGCTTAGTACTGCACGTGCGTTCGTGGTCATGAGCACTTGGTATTCCAGAGAAGGAGAGGACGGAGGACGCAGGAGATGAGACTGGGAGGGAAGGAAGAAACTAGCAGGCAGGGCAGGGTCCTGGCATCAGCACTCATTACCCGTGCGGATGAGCCCCAAGCCCTTTGGGCTGCCCCTGACGAATCGGATCATGAATAACATTAATACAGACCCCGCAGGTCTTTTCAAGGGGTTATGTGAGATAATACATGTGACCAGGAAGAAGCGTTACACCTGACACATCCGTGATACATCCAGGTTGCCATTAATTTATGACTCTCCCAAGGAATTTGTGCCTTTCCCTTTGGGCATTGAGGTCCCTAACCTCTCTTAGACGGGGTGCTCAGGTTTGATTTTAGAAAACCCAATCTGGCAGGAGATGGGGGGAGGGAGTGTGGCCGGAAGGTGTGGCCTAGAGGTGGGAAGGGGGCTGGGCCAGCGGAGGGTGACAGTGGCCTGTGCCCAGGCAGCATGGCAGGGATGGGGCGGGGCAGGGAGGACTGTGAGTGACTGTCAGGGGCTGAGAAGCCATGGGCATTGGGCAGAGCAGTGGCAGGGTGAGGTGAGGAAGAGAAGGGTTTAGGATTATTCCCAGGTTTCCAGCTTAAGGGACAGGGGCGATGATTGTGCTAGGTGCAGGCTTGGAGGAGTGAGTTCAGCCTGGGGCATGCTGGACCGGAGGTACTGGGAGCCGTCTTGATGGAGAGCCGTGGTGGGCACTTTGCTGAATGAGTCAGGAGTCCAGGAAGAGGTCAATCTAGAGACAAAGGCTTCAGAGTTAATCAGCACATGTCACATCACAAGATGTCATAGCCTGTGAGCCTATCCGTGAATGCCTTCATTCAGAGGTGGCTTTTCCCAGGGCTTTATCATTTTTACAGTACATTTTAAACCCCCCAAGAAGTCAAACCCTGGAAAACGATGAAAGCTAATGCACTTGACCCAAGCATCGCTGAAACTCTCCGCTTGCCTGCATTAATGATATACTTGTCTCTTTCATGTAAAATTGCCTGGGCAAAGGAGAATACAGATTCAGCAGAGAGCTGGCAGAAAGCGGAGTCATTCCTCCGGGGTCGGGGGTGCCCGCCTCATCAGCGGCCTCACTCTGGAAGCCGTGGTCTCCGCACATCCCTGACACCCCGAGAGCATCATCTCTTTCTCCATACCTGCTCTTCTGACTTCATCAGGGCCACTCAGGGCAAGGGAGGCTGTGGCAATCACAGACACCTTCCTTAGCCCCCAAACAGATCACTCTGGACAGGAGAGGGCTCTTTTCAAAGCTGCCCCGTGGAAGGCAGCTGGCCTCTTAGCAGATGGTTCCTGCCCCTTTCACTGAGGATAGCCATTCTCTCTGTGGTGTGCGCTCAGGCCCCAACAGGCTGCCGACTGATGGCCGCAGTGTGGGGAACGTCCAGGGGCAGGACGGGAACGCAGGCCCCATTCCAGGGCAGCACTGGCCAGAGCTCATTCCTCCAGCTCAGTGGTTCTGAACTCATTGATAAACAAGCTGAAGTGTTGACAAAGAGACAGAGAGAGAGATTAATTTGTTTTAAGGATTTAGCCTGTTTCATGCAATTGTGGGGACCACAAATCCAAAATTTGCGGGTCGAGCACGGTGGCTCATGCCTGTAATCCCAGCACTCTGGGAAGCTGAGGCAGATGGGTCACAAGGTCAGGAGTTCAAGACCAGCCTGAACAACATGGTGAAACCTCGTCTCTACTACAAATACAAAAAATTAGCCAGGCGTGGTGGTGCATGCCTGTGATCCCAGCTACTCGGGAGGCTGAGGCAGGAGAATCACTTGAACCCAGGAGGCGGAGGTTGCAGTGAGCCGAGATCATGCCACTGCACTCCAGCCTGGGCAACAAAAGCAAAACTCCATCTCAAAAAAAAAAAAAAAAAATTGCAGGGCAGGCCAGCAGGTTAGAGACCCAGCGAAGAGCTGATGTTGCAGCTCACATCCAAAGGCGGACGGAGACAGCAGTCCCTTTTCCTGCTTTTCGTGAACTGATTGGACAAGGCTCACCCATGGCATGGCCTCTAGTCGGTTTCACTCAAAGTCTACTGATGGAAATGTTCATCTCCTCTCTTTACCAGCAACATCAAGCTAGTGTTTGGCCAAATATCTGGGCACTGTAGGCCTAGCCAAGTAGCCACATTCACACTCCTGAATGTTCAGAGACCCCTTCCTGTCTCCCGGGCTCTAGTCACCTGATCTCCGGTTGGCCGAAGGAATTGGGAGGTGGCCCAGGACTAGCCAGTGCTGTCTGGGACACATGCCAGGTGCCACCAAGCCCATCTTGAGCAGCTGGCTGGAAAAGTGCAGACTCAGAGCCGTGAAGGTAGAAGAGACCACATACAAAACAGAAAACCAGAAAAGGCAAGGCGAGATGAGGCTGATGGGCCATGAGCAGTGGGTAGTGAAAGAAACTGTAAAAGGCATGGTCACGTAAATGCTGGCTGTGTTGTTCTGGTAGGTGTTAAAACGAGAATACTGGCGGGGTGCGGTGACTCACACCTGTAATCCCAGCACTTTGGGAGGCCAGGATGGGAGGATCACTGGAGGTCAGGAGTTCAAGACCAGCCTGGCCAACGTGGTGAAACCCTGTCTCTACTAAACACACAAAAATCAGCCTGGCATGGCAGTGCATGCCTGTAATACCAGCTATGTCGGAGGCTGAGGCAGAAGAATCATTTGAACCCAGAGGCGAAGGTTGCAGTGAGCCGAGAGTGCTCTGCTGCCCTCCAGCCTGAATCACAGAGTAAGATTCTGTGTCAAAAAAGAAACAGAAAGCCAAAGAGACATGCATGAAGTGTGTTTGCCCATAGCATTGCCTACATGTGTGTATACAGATTTATAAAGCAGTCCTGCTGTATCAGAAGCATTGGTCAATTTCTAGGACAATCTGGGTGACCACTAGGATCCCTTCCAATGTCCAGACTCCATGCCTTGGGATTTGTTGGTGAAGCGTGCTGAAGTTAGTGGCACCGAGCATCAGCGCTGTCCTGATGTTTCTGTTGCAAGTTTCCTAGCTTATCGTGAGCAGGGGCACCACAGTCATTGCACCTCGTACCAGAGGAGGGCCAAGGTGTGCTATTGTGGCTTGAGGTGGCTGCACCGCTGCAGGAAGTCCGGGTAACACGCAGCCTGGGGGCCACCTTCTGCCTAGGTGGACTCCCACTGCTGCACAGCCCAGGACTGTGGGAAATGGACATGAAACATTCCTAACATAATTAGAAGCTTCTGTTTTCTTGCATCTGGGCACACGTGAACCCACAGATATAGCCTGGGACACAGAGTACAGGCAGCAGGCCTCAGGCCATGGCGTCTGGGACCACACTGCGGACAGGCAGGTGGACCCCAAGACCCAGAGCCTCCCTAACCCCCACCCCAGCCTGTTTGCTTTGGAGCCTGGCTCTGCCCGGCAGCGCTGCTCAGCCCGAGGAAGTTCCAGACTTCCCACCGATTTGGCCTTGTCATTTCTAAGAAAGAGCTGGCCACTGCAAGCTTGGACTGGCATCCTTTCCTGAGGATGTAGCCTTTCAACAGGGTCCAGGAGGAATCTCTGCCCTGGGCTCTCCGGGAGAAAAAGCTTCATAAAGATGTCTCCCATTCCTTTATCCTCCTTGGTCCGTTGCTCTTGTTTCAGATGTAGTTGGCCATTCAAATATTCTATTTCTGTTTCAGGGATATGTGTCTGGGAAGGAAGGCAGTTGACAGTTCTTGGAAATGGAAACCTGGTTCTCTTAAGCTATTTCCTGAGTGTCCTCTTGGCTGTGTGTTTTCAGCTCTGCTGGGAAAAGGTGGTGGAGGAAGAGCTGTTTTGAACTGGGAACATCAGCCTGGATTCTAAACTTAGGCCAGTCTGGCACCGATTTAATATCGACTCTGTCCACCATGTCTGCAGTCCGGAAGGGAAAGAAAGTCTGGCTGTGCTTTCTCGTTTGAACACGCCTGAGCCATGTACCTTTCATCTCCGGAAGTAGTTGGAAGTGATGGTTGGGTCTGGGCTGTTTTGTGTCCAGGGCGGTCGGTGTCTGGGGCCTGGGAGGTTTCCTCCCTTGCCAGTTACCTTCCGGCTGGGAACGCTGGTCCCTGACTCTGATCCCCTTAACTTCTGCAAGATTCATGAAATTCTTTCTTAGGCATTAGACGCTAACCCAGAATTGAATAGCTTGGTGCTAGAGGGAAAGGAGGAGAGAAAGATCAAAGACCAGGAAAGTCTGGTCGCAGAGCACAGCGGCTCTGAGGGAAGGCCAGGTGGCTGCCTGCAGGGAGAGGAGGTGGCTGTGGTCAAGAAGGAAGGCTGTGGTCCGGGAGGGAAGAAAGAGCTGGGAGATCTCCAGGTAATTCTCAGCCTAGAGATTGTGAGCCCAGAGAGAAGGGGAAGCTGTAAGACTCAAGAAAGAGAAAGCAGAGGGCGGAAAGAGTGGGATGGAGGGTACTGCCAGGAGAGGAGGCCAGGAGCAAATGTACGTTCCTGTCTGCTCGCGGAAGACGGGAATCAGCCAGCGCTAAATCAAAGCTTACCCAGGGCTGCCAGGGGCCCAGGTGAATGCAGGGTGGATGCTGTCCTTGAAGTTCTGAGACTTTCTAGGAGATGCAAGGGTGGAGGATGCCCCGGGTGGGGTTGAGTGGAGCTGGGAATCTTCTCACCCAGCACGGAGCAGGTGGGAAGCACGGGCTCACAGGTGTTGAGAGCAGAATGTGGCAGGGCTCAGCTGTGCTGAGATGAAGCTGAGAGCCCGAGGATGTGAGTGTGGCCCTGGGGGCAGAGCCCCTGCGGAAGGCAGAGAGGAGGGACTTCGGGTCTGAGGAAGCTGGGAAGCAGCCTGGGAAGGCGTCTGGTGGTGAGGCCAGTTGGAGAACAAGTGTGAGACCCTGGCGGTGGTGCATGGTGGCTCAAAAGCTTGTGTGGAGGCAGAGGGGATGAGACGGAGGGAGAGGGCAGGAAACGTTGTCAGTGTGGATTCTGATGTTACAGGAATTGAGGTCAAAGAAGGAAAAAATGAGAGCCAGCAAGCAGTCAACCAGGAGGGTGCTGGCGGGTCTGGGGAGGGTGCAGAGTGTAGAGGCTGGGATAGGACTTTGGGTTGAGGGCGGTAGAATGGGTGGGTTTAGGGAGTGGCCAGGTGATGATGACATCAGCGGCCTGGAAGGGCAGTAGCCAGCCACCCTGTCGCCAACCGAGCCTCGGCTCTCCTGAAGCTAGGGTAAGACTTCCCCTCGTGAGACTCAGTGTCAGGGCTGGAAAAAAGCACCTTTGCCTGTGTTTCAGGATTGCTGGTGACACGGCCCTCAACAAAAACATCCACGAGTCCGTCAGCGCCCAGATCCGGAAGAACTTCGCCAAGAGCAAATGGAGAGTAAGTCTCGGGCGTGTGAAACTCCCTGTGGATTAACTCCTCGTGACACTGGCTCTCCAATGGGAGCAGTTCTGAAATCCCCAGAACCTCACCTGAATAATTTTGCTAATTTTAACTGATAGTTATTAGACTTAGAAGGAATCTTGTGGTGCAAAAGGGATGGAATATGTGATGAAACACTTCCCCTCTGTGATGAGAAGCAGCAGTACCAGCTCTTCCTCATCTGCTGTTTCTCAGAAACTGGCCGGGTACAGTGGCTCACGCCAGGTAATCCCAGCACTTTGGGAAGCTGAGGCAGGCAGATCATCAGGTCAAGAGTAGGAGACTAGCCTGGCCAACACAGTAAAACCCCATCTCTACTAAAAATGTAAAAAAATTAGCCAGCCGTGGTGGCACACATCTGTAATCCCAGCTGCTTGGGAGGCTGAGGCAGGAGAATTGCTTGAACCTAGGAGGTGGAGGTTGCAGTGAGCCGAGATCACACCACTGCACTCCAGCCTGGGTGACAGTGCAAGACTCCATCTCAAAAAAAAAAAAAAAAAAAAAAAAAAAAAAACAGGAAATCTGAGTTGAGCTCATCAATGTTTCCTGATAAAAGTTTGACAGATTTAAATCATAGAGGTTTTGTGATCATCTGTTGATTACCTAACTTCCTTAATCTATTGATTACCTGACCTCCCCTCCGTGTTCCAATCAGCATGAGTAATTTGGAGCTGACTATTTTGCCATTAGGGCCAATGGTGAAAGACAAGACCCTAACAAAATTAATTCCACTGTCTGGCCTGCTTTGTTCAGAGGAAACGCTATTATTAGGTTGGTGCAAAAGTAATTGCGGTTTCTTCCATTGAAAGTCGTGGCATGCTGGGCACAGTGGCTCACACCTGTAATCCCAGCACTTTGGGAGTCCAGGGAGGGTGGATCACGAGGTCAGGTGCTCCAGACCAGCCTGGCCAACATGGTGAAACCCCGTCTCTACTAAAAATACAAAAATTAGCTAGGCATAGTGGAAGGCGCCTGTAATCCCAGCTACTCTGGAGGCTGAGGCAGGAGAATTGCTTGAACCTGGGAGGTGAAGGTTGCAGTGAGCCGAGATCACGCTACTGCACTCCAGCCCAGGTGACAGTGCAAGACTTCGTCTCAAAAATAAAAAAAAAAACGTCACGGCAAAAAACTGCAGTTACTTTTGCATCAGCCTAAATATTTCAGACAAAAGTACCAACAATAGGAAAATAAAAACTAATTTCAAATCTAACATTGTACGGTATTAATTATAATATGCCTTTTATTCTAAAGGTCACATCTTTTCAATCTCAGAGAGAATTGTTTACATTTATTCTATGTATTGATGATGTCAGAAGACAACTGTTTTAAGTCTCTAAAACATTTAGTTGGGGAAAGGGTTTAATAAATCAGTGGCCTCTTGGAAGAAGGCATAACGTCAGTTTTCTTTCTTAAGTAGCACGAGAATGACTGAAGAAGTTTGAAATGCGTAGGCTCACGTGATGAGGGAGAAACCAGAGTTGGCGTCTTTTCTGATCATCTGAAATATTGATCTGCTTTTTTCCTTCCTGAAATTGCAGCAAGCGTTCAATGCCACGGCTGTCGTGAGGCATATGAGGAGACTCCACCTTGGCAGCAGCTTGGACAGTTCAAATGCAAGTGTTTCAAGAAGCCTCAGTTTGACCAGCCAAAAAGACTGTGCGTATGTAGCAAAACCAGAATTCCTCAGCTGACACTGAAGATGAGCCTGGGGTAGAGAGACGGGAGCTGGCCTCTGCCGAGCACCTCTCGTTTGCCAGGCCCTTTCTGTACTTAATCCCATCTAATGCAACCTTAGGACGTTTCTTTAAATGGCAGCTTCGGGCTGGAAGCAGTGGCTCACGCCTGTCATCCCAACACTTTGGGAGGCCGAGGCCGGCGGACCATTTGAGTTCAGGATTTCGAGACCAGCCTGACCAACATGGCGAAACCCCTGTCTCTACTAAAATATAAAAATTAGCCAGACGTGGTGTTGGGTGCCTGTAGTCTCAGCTACTCGGGAGGCTGAGGGAAGAGAATCACTTGAATCCAGGAGGCGGAGGTTGCAGTGAGCCAAGATTGCACTACTGCACTCCAGCCTGGGCGACAGAGTGAGACTCCCTTTGAAAAAAAAAAAAAAAAAAAAAAAAATTGTCGAGCACACACAGAACCCTAGGAATCACTATTTCCATTTAGGGTTGAGAAATCCAGGGCTCGAGGTCCCCGCAGCCATATCTGTCTGGAGAAAGGCCTGGACTTCGTATCTCTATCCTTTCCTCTGATTCTCATCATGCAGTCACTCTTGCGGGTTGAGGAAGGGACAGCAGAGCCTCAGGACAGCCTGCTGTCATTGACTTCTATAACATAGATTTTGGATGCAGACAGTTTGAGCTCATTTATAGGAAGTGCATCGACTCTGCAATTAAAGTAGTAATATTTCATTGTCCATCTGCGTGGACTTTCCATCATCAAAGGCTCGTTTACACTCTCCTTATTTCTGCCCCCAACTCCTTCACTCTGTAGAAGGAATCTCCTCTTTGGCCCTTCCTGTGAGTCCGCTCCACATCAGACCAGTGGCCCTGGTCTCCTTAGCCACGAAGCAGCCCTGCAGCCTGGTCTCACCCCGGGCATCCTGCTCCTTCCCGATTGGCTCGGGAAAGGATTCCCTTCCTCTCCAAAGAATCTTCCCATCTCACGTGGGACCAACCAGCCCTTAACATCTTCCCAAGAAATTCTGTGAGCATCCCCTTCTGGCATGCCACAGATCCACACTCTCCTTTCACCCTGCATCTTTGCCACCCCCTGGTCAAAGGGAAGCCCAGATTCATACACCGGCATTGACAGCGAAGCCCTTTGGGGTCCTTCCTTTTATGGCTGTCCCTGGGTCTGAGCACACAGAGTCCCTGGACGGCTGCGCCACGGGGCTCGGTCATGTCAAGGCCTCCCATGTCAAGGCTTCTGATGCCTGCACGTCCCCTGGGAGGGCGTTAGCGCAGCCTGTGCGGGGCCCGGGGGACTGCTGAGTTCACACAGGAGTACCTGAACAGCCCTATTCTTCCTTTCCTTCTTTTTTCCTTCCCTTTCTTTTTCTTTCCCTCCCTCTTTTCTTTTTTTTTTTTTTCTCTTTTCTTTCTTTCCTTTGTCTTTCTTTTTCTTCTTTCTCTCTGTCCTTCCTTTCTTTTCTCTTCTCTTCCCTCCCTCCTTGTCTCTCCTGTCTTTCTTTCTTTTTCTTCTCCTTTTTTTCTTCCCTCCACTGCCCTCCCCACCTTCTCTCCTCTCCTCTTTCTCTCACTCTCTGTCGCGCAGACTGGGGTACAGTGGCGTGATCATGGCTCACCGTTGCCACCTCAACCTCCTGGGCTCAAGCCATCCTCCTGCCTCACCCTCTTGAGTAGCTGGGACCACAGGCAGGGACTACCATGCCTGACTAGTTTTTGTCTTTTTGGTAGACCCAGGGTTGCCCCAGCTGGTCCGGAACTCCAGAGACTCAAGCAATCCGCCTACCTTGGCCTCCCAAAATGTTGAGATTACAGACGTGAGCCACCATATCCTTATTTCAAAGGGCTCTGGGTCACAAAACGCTTTCTAGCCAAGAGTACACACAACACACCAGGGGTAGGAAGGGAGTATCATTCTTTATTCCTTCCTAAAATACCTACATTACAGAGCTATTGTAAAAAGCGAACAATTTGTATGGTGACGCTACGTAGTCAGCAGTAGCCTGGCGCTTGGTACATATTAAGAGCTGGAACGTCATGTACGGCAGTGGTGAAACCATGTCATTTTCAAATACAAAGCAGTTCAAATTATACCAAACAAAGGAGAGGAGAGGTCTAAGAATAAAGCATTTTGAACACATCTCAGAATCTTTCCCACAGGTAGGTAAAAATAGAGAGTCACATGGATAAAAGTTTGGGCTCCCTCACCTGTCCGGCACAGTGGCTCATGCCTGTAATCCCAGCACTTTGGGATGCTGAGGTCGGTGGATCACAAGGTCAGGAGTTCGAGACCAGCCTGGCCAACATGGTGAAAACCCATCTCTCCTAAAACTATCAAAATTAGCTGGGTGTGGTAGCGAGTGCCTGTAATCCCAGCTACTCGGGAGGCTGAAGCAGGAGAATCGCTTAAACCTGGGAAGCAGAGGTTGCAGTGAGCCAAGATCGTGCCACTGCACTCCAGCCTGGGTGACAAGAGTGAAACTCCATCTTCAGGGAAAAAAAAAATTTGTCCCCTCTACGCCCCATAAACCCAGTCCCTGTGATGCCTGGCGGTGGGAAGTGGGGTGAGAATTTGCCTCTGAAGCTCTGAGGTCCGCTTCTGCTGTTCCCTGCAGGTCTGGCACCTTCCACGCTCTGTAGTTTCATTTCTTCTTCGTCGGGGGTCTCAGGAGTTGGAGCCGAGCGGAGACCCAGGCCCACCACTGTGACGACAGTGCACTCTGGAAGCAAGTGACTGGCCCTGGAGGTGGGGCCCGGGGGGCGGGGCCGGGGAAGGGGAGCCCCAGGGTGGCCAGTGCCGCGGGCCACTCCAGCGAGACCCCACCTTGCATGGTGCACTTCCTGCGTAGGACTGGAAGACCGAAGTTTTTTTATGGCCATATTTTATACTGCAATTCTGAAGTGTTCATTTCTCACAAACTGTACTGACTCGAGGGGCGCTGATTTCATAGGATCTGGTGCTGTATATACAAATCTTGCAAAGCTCGAGCTGAACGGACCTTCTTCTTCCTCTCCCCCAACGCCGTCCTTCCCACTCTTCTCAGTGTAGGTGACCGTCTGCAGTGTGTTTTTTCATTCATGACGAGAAACAAGGTTTCAACTGGATTATTTAAATATTGGTAAATAGTGTGCATTAGGGTTTGTTTTTCCTTTTAAGAAGTATGTCCTTTGACTCTGTCGCTCAGTTACGTGACCTGTATCTTCTCCTCTTCGATAGTGGTTTTATGTTAACCTTTAAGAGATTTGTTTTTCCTCCAAGGAGAATTTAAAGGTATTTTTAAACATTCTAAGAAGAGGATCAAGAATCGGTCCGAGGCTAAGAGTGCACATGACTCATGTTCCTTCTCTTTCTCTCATTTTCCTTGGGGGGCGATGCCCCTCAGTTCTGCAAAGCTATCTTGTCTGCAGGGAGGCTTTGGTGGGATTCTCTACAAAGCCTTTGCTGGCAACCTATCCCACAGAACCCTCACCCACCAGAGAACCCAGAGGCCTCTTGCCATCAGCAGTCAGAACTAAGAAGCCTGCTCCCTCCCCAGAGACCCAGGGCTCAGCTTCACAGGCCAAACTTGCTGTAAGTGAGATGCCCACACTGCAGAGATGCAGGAGCATCCCTTGCAGAGGGAGCCAGCTGCCATTTGGTTGAAAGTGGGCCCACCCACAACCCTCATTTCTCACGAGAGGTAGCAGATGAAAGCTCAGCTATGTGCAGTTCTCAAATTCATCTCTTTCTCTGGGGTTTTTTAAAAATGCGTTTCTAATCTCACCCTTTACATGGCTTCCAATACAAAGTTCTTTCTTCACATGGTTACCCTCATCTCACATGAATGTTTTCCAAAGGAAGGAAGGGAGGGAAGTGGCCTTGGAAAAGGATCCATTCCTGGTAGTAAGGAGAGGGGGCCTGCCAGGCTAATAGGACTCGTCACCACAGCGGTGGCCAGAGACCATGTCCGCCAGACCCAGCCGGTGTCTGAAGGCCCCCCACTGATCCAAGGAGCCTAAAATCAAAGATACACGGTGGTAGGGTCACCAAACGCCCCGCCTGCCCGAGACTGAAAGATTTCTCAGGCTGTGAACATCTCATGCTAAAACCAGGACCATCCGGGGCAAACCAGGCGATGTTGTTCGCCTTTGTGGTGGGTAGGGTGCAGGAGAGAGCCAGGCAGTGTACAGCCCAGGGAAAGCCGTGTTTCAAGGAGGCTGTTCTGTAGAGTCAGGCACGTGGCTTCAAGTGTCGGTCCTGCCAACTGTCCCCCGCTCAGCCCTCAGGCCCATCCAATGCCTTGAGCCCACCAGGGTGCCCCAGCAGGTCTGCCTCATCAGGCCCAGTGACGCTGCTGGCTGTGTCCTCACGTCCTCCTCCTGTGGCTGGCCTGTCCTGGGAAGTCTCTGTCACTTGCACACCTTTGCCTGTGTCCAGGCTGAGTGTTGAGTGATGCCCCCCCCCCCGGTCTTCCCTACACGCATGCGCACACACGCACACGCATTTATGAGGCACAGCAGCTCCATCCTGTTCCCTGAGAACAGCAGCACAGGCACAGATGAGAGCCATCGGGAAGACAGGCAGCTGGTCTACCCTGTCTCCACACGCATCACAGGCGCGCCACAGCTTGGCAGGAATTCTACGTGGCATCTGCCACACATGCTCACGCAGTGAAAAATCAAGCTGTCACTCTTCAAAATCTGTAAAAAGCCTGGAAAAGTCCGTAAGTGACAACAGACCTAGTTCAGAGTCAGGTGTCGCCTGAGTTGGCCATGCAGTGAATGAATATTGTAAGCCGTATTGGACAACACAGGTGTCTCTCCAGAGCTTCACCAGGCATTTGCTCACTAACAAGTGTCCTGGAAACATTCGAGTTCATACAGTGCAAGACAGAAAGTAAGAGAAGGCTGTAGGCACTGAAAATGCGCCCAAATCCGGTCCCTAGGGTGAGAGGGTGGATAGTTACGAGTAGCCCTCTGTGCTAGATCCAACCGTTTGCATTCAGAAAGCAGTATTGGAAGCAGGTTCCATTATTGGTGATGGAAGTATTTTCAGGAGCTGATCCATGTGCTGCATGTTATATGCACTTAGCCTGAAAGCATCTCTTACCCCAAAAGTGCAGAACCCCTCAACAGTGGGCCGTGGTCCAGGCGCCCTGTCACTGCTCCCATCAGTTCTTGGCCATGCTTGGCCTGTCACTCCCAAGGTCTCAACAACATTGTGCGAGGAAACAGTGACTGGGTTCAGCCCAAGAGTCGACTGCTGAGCATGGCATCAGGAAGCCTGTACTGTCGCGATGCCACCAGGCTGAGGTTAATTTCCTCTGGTTTTAGAAAAAGAAGAGCCTTTGTGCTTTTGCGAGTGTTCTCATAGAGGTTGTCTTTGCCCAGCACCGGGTATGAATTGTTTCATAAAACAGGAAGAGAACCTGGCATGTGCCTTTTTGAAGGTCTGACCAGTGGGGTCGTAGAGTCCCAGGACCCTCGCCAATGTCAGTTTCCACTCATGGCGGCTGAGCGCTTCGTTCGACGTGCCCCTAGAGTGCTGGCCGAGGCTAAGGGTGGATGTGTGGACCCCATCACAGGCTTCTTGCCTGAGCCCAGGTCCCTCATTTGGTCCCTGTCCCTTTTCAGAGCAAAGTGGATTCTGTTTTCCTCACTTGGAATAGTCAATGTTGAAGTGGTGACTTGGAGTGGCCTTTCGCTCAGGTTCCCTGGCTTCCAGGATCTTCATCTCCTATGTGAGGCCAGAGGAGGAGTTTCCTTTCATTGAGACACTCATTGAGCAGGCACCAGCAGGCCAGCGGCTTGGCCCTCTTCACAGAGGTGGCTCTGGAGTCTGGGCAGCTCGCTTCCTCCCCATGGCACGGCTTCCCAGGTGTCGCATGGGTCCGCAGCCTCAGTATGAAGTGGTTCAAAGGCAATTAGAGAGCTGAGGGGCAGGGCACACTCAGGGGAAGCGCAACGACTGCCAGAAGTCCTTGAGGAGAGACGGGGCTGCTGTGTTAGAGAAACGGCAGCCCGGGCCCGTGCATGGCTCTGGCGCTGGGCGGCGGCTGCTTTTCACCTTTCCTCCTGCCCCCGCCTCCCCGCAGGAGACAAGAAAACGTCTTTCTCCCTATTCAGGTCCCCTTTTGAAAGAAAGAAACTGTGGCAAAGCGTGCCACACGAAATCAAAAGGAAGAGTGGCTTTGTGTTCTTCACCCTGGCCACACTTCTACTTCTGGTCACTTCTGGCATCTGACCTTGAGAACGGGGTGCAGCCTCGGAGCCACCACTGGCCTTGGGGAGGGTCCCACTCTCCAGCTAGCTCTTCGGGTAGTGTCCAAGGCCCCGGCAGTCAGGATAGAGCAAAAGATGATGGCCACACTGGCCAAGGCTGGGCTCGTAGGAAACATCTGCAGTCGGATGAAAGCAAATTGGTCTGGGAGCCTCGGAATCAGTTTACCTACCCCACATCATGTCACCCCCCTCAGCTGTCTACCCTAGTGTTCAGCATGGCCTCGATGAATTATGGGTGGCAGGGACACAAGCCAAGAATACCAGGCACACAGGGTCGGGGAGCCCAGGTGATCCCCTGTGGCCAGTGGATTGATCCTCTCCCCTGTGACATGACAGCTAACCCGATTATCCCACTGGTTAATTTTCTGAGCATTTCTAAACAGAAAGGAAAGATGGTATCCCAGTGCAGGTAGACTTCATTTTTGAAAGCCTCTCCCTCTCCCCCAGAACCTTGGCCAGACTGGAGTCTTCGTTGGGGCGGCCATACTGGAACCATTGCTCGAGGGCCATAGGCGGAGAATAGGGTCATGGTCTCGGCTTCATCCAGCAGCGCACCCTGCTTCGCAGGATTTCACAAGCGCAAGACTGAGATTCCCTTGGATATGAGGAAGGAAGGCAAGGGCCGCCAAAGGAAAGCTTCTCCCATCTTTCATAAACAGAAATAAGATGTCCTCTTTCCCAAGTTGGCACAATCACGGCTGGCAAATGAGTTGAAGGTCCTCAAATTCAGCCAGTGCACGACACCTCTGCATGTTCTGAAACTACTTCCTCCCCATTCTGTCTACCCACACTCTGCGAAGTCTGCCTTTTCCTTAAACACATTCCAGACCAAACACTGTTCAGTTTGTTTCAAAAAAAGAAAATGTATATGCCTGTATGTGACCCACCACCCTTTGGAGGGGCACCCGGCCCTAGGCTGGGGCTGCAGGTGTGCCTGATGTTTGCAAAAGGTATTCCAGTCTTTTCGATGTTCAGAATTGCAAATGTGGAGATAGAAAAGCTGAAACAGACTCCTAAAAGAAGGGTTTCTTTCCTGAAGACTCCAAGAAAATGAGTGTGCCGATGAGTTAGCTTGACAACCTCAACTTTCGGGAGCGGGCAGGTGGTCTGAGGAAGGTCAGGGCCCACGCCCCACTCACCCGGCACCTGCTTGGTGGTCCCAAGTGGTCCCAGGGCATCACGGTCTGCAGCCTGGGCACCCAGTCCCACTGTGAAGTCAGCCCTGCATGCTGGCCGAGGCCCGGCCACCTCCCGATGCCTCCAGAGTCAGTGGGAAGGAGTCAGCCCTTCCCGGACTTCCCCGCCACCTCCAGCAGGAGCAGCTCGGCTTGTGGCTCTGGGAGCTCTGCTTTTGCAAACCCAAAAAGGCTGTGCATTTGGAAGCCAAACGCTCAGCATGCGGCTGCCGAGTCTGGTTTTGTGGACAAAGCAAACTGTGGAATGGCTTCTCGGTGTCTATATAAAGGAGCACGCGATCGCATTCACCCTTTGTACTCACACCGTTTCTGCATTTGCCATATCCGTTTTTTAACCTTTTTGTCGCCAGGGAACTTCTCATATGATTATTATGTCTTCTGATGATTTGCCATGTTATTTTACTTAAAGGTGATTTTATTTTCTTATGGACAGGAAAAAAGCAAATGAGAGGAGTTGGTTTTAGTCTTAGAGATCAGACTTCAGCAGGGGCTTGGAAACCCCAAACTCTAGGTCAATTGCTTCTCGGAGGAAAATCTTGGTCTAGACAGATTGAGATTCCCAGGCTCTCCTGGAAGCCTTATACTTCGGGGCACAGGGGCCCTGGGGTGTGGTTAGCAACCAGGCTGTGAGGGAGCTAAAAAGGTACAAGAACATCAGCCTGGATGTTCATCTCCCAGCCCTGACGCCTGCCAGTCTCCTTCCCGGGGCACTTCGCCCTGTCAGAGGGACATGAAATGCTGTCCAAATGGTGGCGGAAGGGCAGTGACATTGCAGCAGAGTCTTTGCTTTGTAAGATGGGGCGTCATGTTTCAGAGAACATTTATCTCAGTCCCACGTTCAGGTGAGAAGACCTCAAAGGTACCCTCTGTCCAGAATAAACATTGGAACAATTTCTAAATTGGCTTTGTCCCCGCACATAATGTAATCTCCCTTCTTTCAGCTCCCACAGCAACGAGCATGCTTCCCAAAAAATGAGAACGTCAAAAGCAGGAATGTCCCCGCATCTACTATTACCAGGCTTGCAATTGGTTCAATATTTCCATAAAAACATGTTTGTCCAAAAGAAGGGAAACTGTGCATTTATTCCATGCATGTAAGAAACTCTGCAAGAAGTTTCACCCCCGTAGGTTTGCGGCACTGCAAAATTGTTCATGGGTCTGTGTAGCAAATGATTCTCTGCCTTGACAATCATGTGTACATATCAAGATTTCTATGGTAATGATAATGAGATTGACGACTTCTTGTTTTCCTCCAATAAAGACAACTAATCACCTTCAGAGGCGCATCTTTTCTAGAATGAGCAGGATGTGGAGTTTCCGTGTCTCCATCTTTCCCCTGCTTTCCGAAGTTTGGATTTGAAGGAAGGCGTTTGCATTAGGACCCCCAAAAGTCATGGAGTCCCCCCTAAATATTTCATGTTACCTCCACAGGAAGCAGGAAGTAGCAGGGATTGAAGGGGCAGCGCGTCTCGCCTTTGAGGGTGGGGACAGGTGCCAAGATTCCGTGATCACTGGACAGGAAGGCCCCTCCTTTGCCCTGCTGCTGCACAAGGTGGCTGGAGGTGAGCCCAGTAACTCCAATCGCACTAACTCAATATTCCTAAGTTGTATGGAGGAAAAGCCAATGCAGACTTCCTGGAAGTGCCTCTGAGTCATGGGTGGCTGGGCAGCCTCAGGCTTCAGCAATTCACGCGCACTTTCTTTCCCCTCCTCGGCAGACCCGTCTACTCAGGCCCCGAAGGAAGATTCTTTTCCAGGCAGCAGGCTGGCTGGGGTCTTTTGTGGGGGTTCGGGGGAGACACAGGAGGAGGAACTACAATTCATAGCTCATCAAATGTATTGTGGGGATCGGGTCTGATGCCCAGACGGTTCTTCCAATCCAAACAGGGATCGTGTAGGGAGAAAAAAGTGAATTGGACGTGTGCTATAGAAATGTAGAATTAAAACTGTCCCGCACAGCCAGCATCAAGTGAAAACAGCATGGGTGAGCTTATTGAGAAAAGGCCATGAGCCCGAAAGAAACGCAGTGCACACTGCCTGAGGTCCAGTGCTTTCGTGGTTGGTTCTTGCTTCTGTAGCCCAGTTCCTAACGGTGCGTTGTATCGATACAAAGCTGTCATTCAGTGGGTGAATAGGCAAAGTCGTTAATGCGGATTTTATGGAACGTAACATTTTGATGGCAAAAAGAGGTAAAAATCATGTGCACCCAAATCCCTCTGACTCTCTGTCCCCAAGGAAAGTGACCATGCCATCAAAATCCTTTTTCATAGGTCAGGCCCGGTGGCTCACACCTATAATCTCAGCACCTTGGTAGGCCGAGGCAGGTGGATCACAAGGTCAGGAGTTCGAGACCATCCTAGCCAACATGATGGTCTCTATTAAAAATACAAAAATTAGCTGGGCATGGTGGCACCCACCTATAATTCCAGTTACTTGGGAGGCTGAGTCAGGAGAATTGCTTGAGCACAGGAGGTGGAGGTTGCAGGTAACCAAGATTACACCACTGCACTCCAGCCTGGATGAGAGTAAGACTCTGTTTAAAAAAAAAAAAAAAAAAAAACTGTTTCATAAAGGAAGATTCTGATAACGGAATGCTTTACGTTCACCTGCATGTTGGGCCTTTTGGCGGGGCTGGATGTGATCTTAGGCATGTGTATACACTTGGCTTGGATCAGTGCTCTTTAGCTTAAGAAAGACTGAGCAAGAGGCACTGTGCCCAGCCTCATTTTTCACATACCGGGTTGCAACACCTGTGCCGAGCCCACAGAATGTGCAATTCCCAAAAGAGCACCTTGCAATTACGAGGACAGGGTGTGTATGTATGTGTATATGTACACATATGTATATGTATATGTATGGTATGTGTACCATGTAAGGGCTTCCAGCCAAGGGAAGTGGAGAGGTCGGATTTCCAGTCCACATCCTACGTGTCAAGCCGTGCACCCTGGCTCAGGGGAAAAGGTGCTTTTTTCTTCATCCAGTTCATACAAAGGCACTGTATGGGGACTGGCTGGTTGGGTGGGCCCAGCAGACCTGAGAACATTGGACTGTGAGCTGTGGACCAACGGGAACTTTTTATTAGGTTTTCAAGGCTGGAGAAGTCTCTAGCTAAGAGCTCAGAATCGAACAGGCTCTGAAGGAGTTCATCTGGCCTTTTTTGTTTAGGGATTTGCGAATTAAAGACTGAATTAGCCTTCAAGAAACTATCACTAAGGGGCTGGTACATATAAAAGCACTTTACAGAGCTTGATAGACACCACACTGCAGAAAACGGCTTGGTCTCCCCATCTCCCTCAAGAAATCTAGGAAGTCTTGCCTTTTATTCAGGATGATTGGCAGCAATGAAATGAGATCTCAGCACCCTCAATCCTCCCTGATCTATTTCCCCTACAGTCTCCCATCAGTGCCCTTCCACTGATTCCAGTCATAGCTTTCATTCATTCATTCATTCGTTCACTCAATATTTGTGAGCACCTATTATATCCAAGGGTTTTCATTCATGCTAAAGAAAACCAAAGTCAGTCTGATGTGAATCCAACTCTCGAACACTGTGTAAAGCAGGAAGCACTTGAGTTAAGCCAGGGAGGAAGGGGAGAGTTTAGACGGGAAGGATTTCATAGGAGCAATGTGAGAGAGAGCTTGGAGGCTGGGAATGCAGCCTTCAGGTGGGCTGAGTGTTCATCAGGCCAGGGCAGAGGGTGTGAGCAAACCCTGTGGAGAGAGAGAAAGGTTGGCTGGAGAGACACTGGAGTCACTGTCACCAGCAATAACTTCTGGAGCTACCACCGTCACATTGACCATTTACTGTGTCCTGGATACTGTGCCACTCACCACCAGCCTCAATAAGGAAGGCACCCTGATTTTCCAAGTGGCTTCAGAAAGTTTTAATATTTACCCAGCTATAGATGTGAGCAGAATCGCAAACTCATCCCTGACTGATTGACACCAAAGGCCATTCTACTGTCTTGTGTCTCATGGTTTTGTGTGGGTCACTGAATTCTGAACTGTGAAATTTGGACTTTTTATTTAGTAGGTGACTGGGAGCCATTGAAGGTTATTGAGCTGAGTAGTGACATGATGACATCAGTTAACATTTGGAACGGCACTGTTATTAGTGACCATTGTATTCTCTCTCAAGAGAAATTCATCTCCTGTAATAGCTCAGGCTGGCCTTACAGGAAGCCCAGTTAACCTGCACCTTCAGAAGACATACTCATTACTGAGGAACCAGCTCGTTGATTTTCTGACGTCTGGTTCCATTTCTCAGGAGAAATATCACAGAAGCTGGATTTCACTTAGAGTCAGAGATGCAGACAGTAATATCACTGCTGGGTTTTGGCTTTCTTTTCTTTCTTTCTTTCTTTTATTTATTTATTTTATTTATTTATTTATTTAAAAATGGAGTTTTGCTCTTGTTGCCCAGGCTGGAGGGCAATGGCACGATCTTGCCTCCCAAGTTCAAGCTATTCTCCTGCCTCGGCCTCCCAAGTAACTGGGATTACAGACATGTGCCAACAAGCCAGGCAAATTTTGTATTTTTAGTGTAGACAGTATTTCTCCATGGTGGTCAGGGCTGGTCCTTTTTTATTTTGAAAGTTAGGAGGCCGAGGCGGGTGGATCACCTGAGGTCAGGAGTTTGAAACCAGCTTGACCAACATGGAGAAACCCCATCTCTACTAAAAATACAAAAAATTAGCTGGGCATGATGGCACATGCCTGTAATCCCAGCTACTCAGGAGGCTGAGGCAGGAGAATCGCTTGAACCTGGGAGGCCGAGGTTGCGGTGAGCCGAGATCACACGCACCATTGCTCTCTAGCCTGGGTAACAAGAGGGGGACTCCATCTCCAGGAAAAAAAAAAAAAAGTCTAGCCCCTCATTCTGATCAATAGCTCCAGGAAGATCGGTGAGTGTACAGAGTTTCAGCCCTGACTTGCAGCCTGCCTGCCATCTGCTTTTCTCCTCCAGATCACCCTCGAAGTTACTGATTTATTTTTAAGAAAGCACCTCAGATCTCTTGTGTTCTTCCAGCCTCCTCTGAGAGGAACTGTACTTAGCATGAGCTCATCTTCCTGGCTCTCCAGAAAGACTCGGTGGGCCAGAAAAAGGCGGTTGTTGATCCACCAGTGAACCCTTGTTCTCTCGTCCGCCTGTGGTCCCCTCTCTCTAATACTTCATCTTCAACACTATATTTTCTTTCTCGGGCACATCAGATCTAAATTGTTCTGGGGGGGTCTCGCTGGGTCAGGCTGTACATATCAGCACGTGAAGAAAAGCTCACAAGATACTGAGCCTCCAGTACCTCAACCCTAACCCAACCTGGCCCTAATCACGCATAACAGTGCAGTGACTGGCTGGGCGTGGTGGCTCACGCCTGTAATTCCAGCACTTTGGGAGGCCGAGGCGGGTAGATCACCTGAGGTCAGGAGTTCAAGACCAGCCTGGTCAACGTGATGAAAACCCATCTCTACTAAAAATACAAAAATTAGCCGGAGGTGGCGGCATGTTCCTATAATCCCAGCTACTCAGGAGGCTGAGACAGAAGAATCCCTGGAACTTGGAAGATGGAGGTTGTAGTAAACCGAGATCATGCCACTGCCACTCCAGCCTGAGTGACAGAGCGAAACTCTGTCTCAAGGAAAAAAAAAAAAACCCCACTGCAGTGACCGACTGCTCTAATGAGGGCCAGCTGGTCGCCAGCACAGACATGGGAAGACAGCTAACTTTTACAGTCACCTAGCCCAAGGGGCTTGTCACCTGGCGCCCCCAGGAAGAAGATGAAGACAGTGCTTACTCCAGAGCTGACAAAGGCATTAAAGAATGCTGCAGGTGGGAAGGACTTCACCTCCCTCCTGCTCCCCCTGGGCAAATCCCCACTTCCCCCATGTGCTCCCAGCAGGTCCCCACAAGCTGCCACTGCTTCAAGAGCTGCAGCCCAGGGCTTCTCACACTTCGCCCCGCAGGATCTTGCTAGATGGCAGATTCTGCTTGGGACCAGAGCATTTCTTTTCTTTCTTTTCTTTTTTTTTTTTTTTTTTGAGATGGAGTTTCGGTCTTGTTACCCAGGCTGGAGTGCGGTGGTGCGATCTTGGCTCACTGCAACCTCTGCCTCCGGGGTTAAAGTGATCCTCCTGCCTCATCCTCCCAAGTAGCTGGGACTACAGGTGTGCACCAACATGCCCAGCTAGTTTTTGTATTTTTATCAGAAAAAATTCACCAGGCTTGTTGGCATATGCCTGTAGTACCAGCAGCTTGGGAGGTTGAGGTAGGAGGATTGCTT